TTTTAATGAATTTGTATTTTTATATATTTTTGTGATCACATTAATAAAATCAAGTTATTTGCAAATACAACCACTCGACTGCGCTTTCATTCACTGCATTAGTGACCTAACATTCAAAAACCCCTTATAACCATTAAATAATATCGATATAAAAATTAATTGTTTTGTAATGATATGAGTATATTCTATTTTTTCGCCACTTAATAATATTAATTTGATTTATGATATTTTAAATGTCAAATTAAATTAATAAACTCATCTAAAAATTGTGTCTATTAAAATTTACAATACGGTATTAGTAATACCGTATTACAATACTTTATAATTTATAAATTATAAACAATATTTAATTGCAATTTGTATAGAAATAGTTTGATCATTTATATTTTTAAATTTACTAAAATATAAAATCATTAAAACTGTATTAAGTACACAAAAGGCCTGTCGAGTCGGTACATAATTAGTCAGGAACAATGTTCAATTAGAGGGCAGATGACGTTAATATTTAGTGACTTTATTGTTATATAGTAAATTTGAATATTAAAATTAAAACTATCCTCTACAGTAGAAAACAAACATTATTAAATGTACTATACTATAAAATATCGTTTAAATTGTTACAGATAATAAACATACATGTGTAAACCATATTCAGTTACACGAATAAATATAAAAACGTTAAATTATAAAAAAATATTTATTTAGCAACCAAAGCATTTATTATTACAATTTAATTGTCGCACAGCATTGGTTTGCTTATATATGCGCACGGCTTGATTCGTAGGCCGCACTTCACCACCCGTCACAAAATAGCGGTGATAATACCAAGTACCTTGGTCACCCCCAGCGAACAGCAAACCACTCCATTCGCCTGGTGTTATATTTGTCGGACTACAGCCCTGTTTAGCCTCTTCCCATTTGACCGATGACAACCTAGGTGAGTTCTCCGGCTGGACACCATCACCAAACCCCAGACTACCCGCGCCCTCGGCCCGGAAAAATGAACCCGCGTACTGAGCCGTCACATCCAACCACGTGTAATCGGGCCACAAAGTTTTAGGCTCAGCCTGGCCGGGCAGCTGCACGTATGTAAAGCCAATTGGTATGAGGTCACTTTGTAATCGAGCAATTTTTGCCTGATAACGGTCTAATTGTCGCAAATTGTCCCTGAATAAACGCTCTCGATACTGCTCGGACAATGGCACTATGCGTTTGCATATACAAGCATTTTGTCTCTTACATGGTTTACCAGACCATTTACCGAGAGTGGACACGTCGGCCGACATTTCTACACAATCATTATCGTTTATAGAGTGACCAGGTGTCCAATTTTCATAGTCAGCGCCCGTACTGTCCGCCCACACAATGTGTCCGTTTTGAACGCTGGCGTCGAGCCATATATTATCTACCATTCGGTTGTTTCTTATCATTTTGTTTAGAAAGTCCTGTTCTTGCGGTGTGTTTATTGTCGGAAGCGATGATTCGTTTTGCGTGTGACAAAAGTTGACCATGTCCGTATAATCGCCTTTTACATCGGGGTAATACCGATAGCATATATGGTAATAACCGTCATTGAATTGGTCCCAACCATCTCCGCATACGCTGTTAGTATTCCGGTGTGGTGTTTCGCACCTGGTGTGTTTGCCATTTATGCAATTTTGATTTATATCCGGTCTATTGTTTTGATGTTTAAATGCAAAATACATTAGGTACAAGTAAACCTCTTTATATGTAACGATTGAGTAAAATGCGTTTATATTAAATGGGCTAAGTGTACTCGTTATTACAATTTAATTGTGCATTGGTTCGCTTATATATGCGCACGGCTTGATTCTTAGGCCGCACTTCACCACCCGTCACAAAATAGCGATGATAATACCAAGTGCCCTGGTCACCCCCCAACGAACAGCAAGCCACTCCATTCGCCTGGTGTTATATTTGTCGGACTACAACCCTGTTTAGCCTCTTCCCATTTGACCGATGACAACCTAGGTGCGTTTTCCGACTGAACACCATCACCAAACCCCAGACTACCCGCGCCCTCGGCCCGGAAAAACTGGCCCGCATACTGGGTCGTCACATCCAACCACGTGTAGTCGGGCCATAATGTTTTAGGCTCAGCCTGGCCGGGCAGCTGGACGTATGTAAAGCCAATCGGCACCAGGTCGCTCTGTAATCGAGCAATTTTTGCCTGATAACGGTCTAATTGACGCAAATTGTCCCTGAATAAACGCTCTCGATACTGCTCAGACAATGGCACAATGCGTTTGCATATACAAGCATTTTGGCTTTTACATGGTTTACCGAATCATTTACCGAGAGTGGACACGTCGGCCGACATTTCTACATAATCATTATCGTTTATAGAGTGACCAGGTGTCCAATTTTCATAGTCAGCGCCCGTACTGTCCGCCCACACAATGTGTCCGTTTTGAACTCTGGCGTCGAGCCATATATTATCTACCATTCGGTAGTTTATTATCATTTTGTTTATAAAGTCTTGTTCTTGCGGTGTATTTATTGTCGGAAGCGATGATTCGTTTTGCGTGTGACAAAAGTTGACCATGTCCGTATAATCGCCTCTTACATCGGGGTAATACCGATAGCATATATGGTAATAACCGTCATTGAATTGGTCCCAACCATCTCCGCATACGCTGTTAGTATTCCGGTGTGGTGTTTCGCACCTGGTGTGTTTGCCATTTATGCACTCAGGCAATGGGGATCGAGTACGTTGGAGACCTAGGTGATACAGTTTAATGTTAATTTAATTATTTTCAATAATACTTGTAAACATTTATTATTTTATAACTTACACTCTCCACTTATAATACTAGCGTTAATGATTAAAATCAAAGTTAGTACAAATATTTTAGCCATGTTTATTTTTTACTATAAAATATTTAGCATAAATACTTATTTGTTTAAAATTATTTAATTATTCTCGTGTTTTTATACGTTTGTGTTAACATTTTTTAAATACAGCACATGTTTTATAAGATTAATGTTAGCTTATTTAAAATTTATATTATAAAATTGTAACGGGATACAATTGTTTTTAAAATTAATTATCTGTGTTGTACAAAGTGAATAAAATCATAATGAAGAAAAAATTTAAAAAAACAATATAAGTATGAATGTTTTAAAATGATAATTTCATACAAATAAAAATATTATACTGAAATTAATAGCAAATTCATAAATCATAACACATTTGTGTTTTACATAATGGTAAACAAGATTTACATTAATCAAGTGTCAATTTTAAAATACAATATTATCAATCAATATAAAGTAAAATTTACAAAATTTCAGAATATAATACAATATTAGAAAATATTAAATAAAGGGTAGTGTTCAAATTACGAAATTAGTTTTAAATATAATAATAGAATTTATAATATAATAGTAATAACAAATACAATTTTCATTTAGTATAAAATACAACAGTATTTAATCGCCGTTTAGTTGCGTTAATATTCATTCAAAAATTCATTTATGTTTAAAAATATTAAACACTTTTTAAACACTTTAACAAATTTTGCGATAAAAATATTTTGGAATTGAATTTTGAATGAATTTAATATTCTTTAGTTTAGGACTTTTGGTCAACAAATGTGAGAAATCATTGTCCGAGTGATGAGTGCTTGCGTTGCAGTAAATGACAAGCGTTTGCAGCGCCGGTAGTCTTGAGATGTGAGACAAACACTCGGTGTCTATAATGCTATTGAAGTCACGAATGAATAGGTATTGAAGTCGTGGACAGTATTGATGCAAATCTTTCAACACATTTGCTGTCATTTCGCTTATATAGAGCTCTAAATGCGTTAATCTCTTGCAGTGTCTCAACGGATCCAACAACTGGTCATCGATGGCCGCGTAGACCTCTAAACGCAATCGTTTTAATGTGTGATAAACTTTCAACAGATCTAATGAGATCTTAAGTGGCGATTTGGGATCAATTGGTGACAACTGGAGTGACAATCGTTTCAATTGTTTGCAATTCACGCCAATTGTACGCAAAGAGTTGTTCAAAGAGTCGTTCAAGTTTCTTATGTCGAATCCGAGACTCAATTCCCGTAATTGTGTTAATCGTGACAAATGTCCGCATATTTCGGGCAAATAATCGGGAAATAAAAAGTCAAAACGAAAACAATTTACGGCCAAACTCTTGAGGCACTCATTCTGTGCCACGAATGCAGACAATCGGTGTCTATCGCGCGATGAATGCGTTTTCAGTTCAAATGTACGCAAATTAGTGGCAAATAATTGTAATGTCGTGTCAAAGATGTCTTCCAATGAATTGATCCGTAAGTGTGACAATCGGTGATATGGGATCAGCCATTGTCTGTCCGGCAATGAATAAATGGCACCGATTTGGGTGACCAGAGGTGACCACTGGCCAGAACTCATTGTTTGTTCACTGTTTGGCCACACATTGCAGTAAATTTCCCGCAAATGCCGGCAATTATCTCGAAATATGTTCAATACTTCGGGAATGTGTTCTTCATATCTGGAGGTTATTCTTCGGCAGTCAATGGTCTCAATGTTTGCACACTTTGTGACAATTGTGGCCAACAATTGAATATCAATTCTTTGATCATTCAGTAAACTCTGCATAATTCGATCGCTAAAAGTGATGTCCACAACACTCCCGAAGACTGTCCTCCGGAACTGTTTGGACACACATTCAAAGCAAAACATGTCTTCGAGTGAGAGATAGGATAATATGAGTCCACACATGTCATCACCAAATCTATCCAAAGAGTCTTTTGCGTAATTCTGTGTCTAAAATGTTTAACAAAAACAATTAAAACTCAATAAACAGTCAATTGTTTATCAAATACCTGTTGAGTGTTGTCTTCATTGCCGTCATCTGCGGTCACGAGTGATGTCTTCTTGCGCTCCATCTGTTGTGTCATATCTTGGGATCAAATAAAATGATACTGTATTTACACTGTATTTGAAGACTCTGTGGACTCACCACTCATTGACTTTATGTAAAGCAGAAGTCGAGCTATAGTTGAGAGATATTCCTCCTGTAAATCACAAACTTATGGATCAATTCAGACATTAGACGTGAAAACATATTCATAGCATAACTAACAGCGAAACCCATAGTTAATACAGTATATCCCAGTTATAAGACTAACGAGTAATGTGGCAACAAATGTCCGCTTATAGCCGGGGTTTGGCTGTATATACGGCTTATAAACGGGTCCGCGTTATAACCCGAGCGCTTATACCCGAGGATATACTGTAGGATCGCTTGACAAGCGTTTTAACCCTCGAGAACTATACTTTAAATAGTTTTATAACACAGTCTTATATCCAACACATGAAAACATCACCCAATGGTCGGACAAATTGGTTGGCGACTCTTCACTACCGACCGATCGGTGCATACCTTAGTGTCGGCCGTCGCGCAGATATGGCTCTCCATCTCTGCCACAGTCTTATCGGTCGGATCGCCGGACACACGGATGTAGTCTTCGCTGTAAACCACACAACAAAAGGCCATTAATTTAAACTACTTTTAACCAATGGATCAGCTCTTGGACTGAGAGCCCGACTCATGGATCAGTACTACTCACGAGTTTTACATACATTTTATTTCTCGCGTGTTGTCGACGCAAATTGGTTCGCCATCTCTGGTCACCCGACGGGCCATCACTTGCGGCCATCATTTTCGCGACAATACAATAAGTGGTGATAACTCTTGGGATCAGCTCAACGATCAATGAGTCACTCAAATGGCAGACAATATATGAATGAATTGTGTTTTTGTGACCAAAATGTCATAATATTTATATTCAATGAAAGCCAACACAAAGTGTTGACAACGAGTGAGACATCTATTGACACATATTTTCATTACTTTTTGCCCACACTTTCAATGAGTGTTTAAAATATATAATTTATATAATAATAAAATAATTGTTATAATAATGTAATCAATAGGAATGTCTTAAAAGTACAGTTTAACACAAATAATTTACCATAATTGATTTTATTTAAACAAAAATTTAAATCATTCATCACATAAATTAACATAACATTATCTAACGTACAAAAGTATAAGTGTGAATAATTCATTAAATCATCAATAGATAGATATAGATTTTAGAGGTAGAATATTAATATTCCAACTCGTGCTTAAACCTTAATTTGACCAGGACAGTCTTTCGGTAACACACATTTACCCCAACCGCCCGCATCTACTTTAACATAACCTTCATTGCAGGCGCAGCGGAGAACGCACTGATACGTACACATATCGGGTGGATTTTGGTAATTGTTGCATGTTAGCGGACATGCTGTATCGCATTTTGTGTAATGTCCATTTGGGCCGCACTCTGGCTCGGGCTTCTTAGTGGTTAGGCTAAAACCTTGTTCAAATACAGTATATTAAAATTGTTACATTGTTAGTATAATAATGCTTAAACCTTTATCTTACCAGGACAGTCTTTCGGTAGCACACATTGTTTACCTCGGTCGTTCTCATCTACTTGAACATAACCTTCTTTACAGGCGCAGCCTCTATGGCAGTCTTTTGTGATCCACCTTGGTGGATTTTGGTAATTAGTGCATGTTAGTGGATATGGTGTACCGCATGGTGAGTAATATTTATTTTGGCCGCAATCGGGCTCGGGCCTCTTAGTGGTTAGGCTAAAACCTTGTTCAAATATATTAAAATTGTTTCATTGTTAGTATAATAATGCTTAAACCTCTATCTTACTAGGACAGTCTTTCGGTAGCACACATTGTTTACCCCGGTCGTTCTCATCTACTTGAACATAACCTGGTTTACAAGTGCAGCCTCTATGGCAGTCTTTTGTGAGCCACCTTGGTGGATTTTGGTAATTAGTGCATGTTAATGGATATGGTGGACCGCATGGTGAGTAATATCCATTTGGGCCGCACTCGGGCTCGGGCTTCTTAGTAGTTAGGCTAAAACCTTGTTCAAATATATTAAAATTGTTACATTGTTAGTATAATAATGCTTAAACCTTTATCTTACCAGGACAGTCTTTCGGTAGCACACATTGTTTACCCCGACCCCCCGCATCTACTTTAACATAACCTTTATTGCAAGCGCAGCGGTGAACGCACTGATAAGTACACGAAGTTGGTGGATTATTGTAATTGTTGCATGTTAGCGGACATGCTGTATCGCATTTTGTGTAATGTCCATTTGGGCCGCACTCGGGCTCGGGCTTCTTAGTGGTTAGGCTAAAACCTTGGTTAAATATATTAAAGCGATATACCGTATAGACACACCCTTATTCCCATTGAAACCCATACTAAACTCTACCCATAGCTAACCCCCCGTATATTTTACTTCCCCTACTTGAAAGGCACCCCAACACTGACCACATTCCAGGGCTGGGTATAAATACCACAGCCCTGTCCAGTGGTGTGACAGTTATAGTTACATTCATAGAGAGAGTCGTAAGACTCCTCTCTTCACTTATGCTCTACCATTAAATGCTACACTTTTTATATAACTTTATTTTGTATTCTTTATATTCTTATGCTAAATGATTAACAATAAATAGTTTGTGTATTAAATAGTATTGTTGTATTGTTTGTGTTGTGTCGCAAGCGGTGCGCGCAGGCCATCGGACAAGTTGGTCACACAACCCCAGAGAATACGGTAGGTGTCGCCTATGGGAGTGCAGCTCCGGTAAGTTTATGCCTGTTTTCCCCCTATTGTATGCTTTTTAACCCCCAATTATTAACCAACATATTGTAATATTAAAATTGTTACATTATTAGTATAATAATGCTTAAACCTTTATCTTACTAGGACAGTCTTTTGGTAGCACACATTGTTTACCCCGACCGCTCTCATCTACTTTAACATAACCTTCATTGCAGGCGCAGCGTTCATAGCACATACGCACACACGAAGTTGGTGGGTTATTGTAATTGTTGCATGTTAGCGGACATGCTGTATCGCATTTTGAGTAATATCCATTTGGGCCGCACTCGGGCTCGGGCTTCTTGGTAATTAGACTATAACCTTATTCAAATATATTAAAATTGTTACATTGTTAGTATAATAATGCTTAAACCTCTATCTTACTAGGACAGTCTTTCGGTAGCACACATTGTTTACCCCGGTCGTTCTCATCTACTTGAACATAACCTGGTTTACAGGTGCAGCCTCTATGGCAGTCTTTTGTGAGCCACCTTGGTGGCTTTTGGTAATTAGTGCATGTTAATGGATATGGTGGACCGCATGGTGAGTAATATCCATTTGGGCCGCACTCGGGCTCGGGCTTCTTAGTGGTTAGGCTAAAACCTTGTTCAAATATATTAAAATTGTTACATTGTTAGTATAATAATGCTTAAACCTTTATCTTACCAGGACAGTCTTTCGGTAGCACACATTGTTTACCCCGACCTCTCACATCTACTTTAACATAACCTTCATTGCAGGCACAGCGTTCAATGCACTGATAAGTACACATTTTTGGTGGATCATTGTAATTGTTGCATGTTAGCGGACATGCTGTATCGCATTTTGAGTAATATCCATTTGGGCCGCACTCGGGCTCGGGCTTCTTAGTAGTTAGGCTAAAATCTTGGTTAAATATATTAAAATTGTTACATTGTTAGTATAATAATGCTTAAACCTCTATCTTACTAGGACAGTCTTTCGGTAGCACACATTGTTTACCCCGGTCGTTTTCATCTACTTGAACATAACCTTCTTTACAGGCGCAGCCTCTATGGCAGTCTTTTGTAATCCACCTTGGTGGATTTTGGTAATTAGTGCATGTTAGTGGATATGGTGTACCGCATGGTGAGTAATATCCATTTTCGCCGCAATCGGGTTCGGGCCTCTTAGTGGTTAGGCTATAACCTTGTTTAAATATATTTAAATTGTTGCATTTTTAGTATAATAATGCTTAAACCTTATCTTACCTGGACAGTCTTTCGGTAATACACATCGGTTACTCGACCTATCTACTTTAACATAACCTTGATTGCAGGCGCAGCGTTGAATGCACTGCATTGTACACATATCTGGTGGTGCTAGATAATTTTGGCATGTTAGCGGACATGCTGTATCGCATTCGTTGTAATATCCATTTGAGTCGCACTCGGGCTTCTTAAAGGGTTGCCCATAACCTTGTTCAAATATATTAAAATTGTGACATTGTTAGTATAATTATATAATATATTATTATATTAGTTCAACCATGTACTTATATTAATTTGATGTGGGATTATAAAAATAATTACCTTGTGCATTTATAATGCAAACATTAACAAGTACAAATGTTAGAATTATAAATATATTCTTCATGATGATTTTAGTTTGAAGATTTTAAATTAAATGTTATTACAGTTTAGTATTTATAATGTCGTGTAGTTTTATTTAAAACAAATAAAAATTGAAACAATTTATTTAAAAGTATATCTAAAACAAATGATAGGATTGAGAGTTTAAGTCAATATGTTATACAATTTTAATTATAATTTACTGAATTAGAAAACATATGGTAGTTATTTAATTAAAGGGATATTCTGCAAACTAATTTAATTAACATTATTTATTGTTTTAACATTGTTAGGAATTTAAGTATTAGGCGGTAATTGATAGCAATATGTTATATAAATTATATAATATAATAGTAAATTGAGGCAAATATAGGCAGATATTTATGCGTTTTTGTTCATTACAATAATTTTTGTTGTTAACAATTGATATAACTTAATATAACTATTATAAGCAGCAAAATTTGACGCATTTAATGCATTTGAATGTACAGTAAATTTAAATGTTCCCCTTTATATAATTTTATTTCACTTTTTTAAATTCAAAACTGTTGTTGCATTTAATTAGAAATTGCAAATTAAATTAAATTTTATTTAAAATTAATTTTTTTTTATGTAAACCCATGTTTTTATTTCATATTTACTTAGCAAAAAAATTAAAAAGATTTTATTCTGGTTTCTCGACTCAATCATTGCAAATAAAAGTTAATTTTTAAAATAAATTTTATAATTTTCTCAAAAGGGACGCCTCTGTGGGGCAAACCCTTACAAAATGTTGTCATATTTAAGTCTAATTATTTTATTTTTAATTAAATTTTAAGGGAATAATGAAAATAGTTTGTTGTTTAAACATTATGTGAATTATTTACATATTTTTAATGAATGATTAAGATTTAAATTTATATAACTAGATGTGTTATTTAAGGTATATTTTTAATTAAATTTTAAGGGAATAATGAAAATAGTTTGTTGTTTAAACATTATGTGAATTATTTACATATTTTTAATGAATGATTAAGATTTAAATTTATATAACTAGATGTGTTATTTAAGGTTGTTTTAAATATTTGTTTGAAAATGTCAAGAATTTTAATTATTTTTGTTATAATAATGCTTAATTTGAATATTAAAATTATTTTGTTTATTTTTACTAATATGCTTGTCTCTACTTTGTAAACCAATGTTAATTAATAAACATAGAGATATGTATTTAATCACGTATCTCACCAAAAAGGAACAGATTATTAAAAGTAACTCTTATTTTTAACCACAACTCAGCATTGAATAATGTGGTTTATAGGATCATTAGGCCCCCTCCAATTTTATTGAAAAATCATTTATAATTTTTTTTCTAATCAGGAATAAAGCTATATTTTTACCTTAATATTTTATTTTTGAATCTTATATATGTCCTAATTTAGTGTAACTAACCTTGTTAAGAAAACATATTTTTATTTTAGTTCCGATAAATTTTTCTACATTTAAGTGTAAAGTAGATACTCTATAATTTATTTTTTGACTTTAATTTATTTTGTAATTTGTATTAAATTAGTGGAAAAACATTTATTAGCATTAAATTTACAAATTTATTGCATATTCTGTGTGATCATCATGAATGATGCTTATTACTGTTCAAAATTTTACAAACAGGGTTATAGTATAGTGGTAGCATGTGTGCATGGTCATTTTAAATAATCATTTCAAACACCAAACTAATCTGCATCCTAATTGTATTTATAAATTATATCTAAATTGTAATTATGGGAACTTTAGTTTGGCTGAATTATTAAAACATAATATCATAATAATCAGGCTAGTTTATTAAAATATTTTGTTGCCATAATATTGTACCTAATAAACTTTTAATAATTTAGTTGAATTTCATGTTATTTATAAAAATAGATAACGTACAGTAACCCTGCTTGTTTGAAAGTTTTTGTGAGATTTCTCTAGTCATTTGGATTTATTGTTTGTTCTAAGTAACATACAGGGTGTACATTATTGGACTAGACCATTACAAAGTCGAATATCTCGAAAGGTATTTGGTCTAGAAATTCAAATGATATATGAAAATCCTCATCAACTGCGGGAGTTTTTGTTATGATATGGTCAATATGCTTGACCTCCTATTTTAGAAATAATCTCAAATCAATCAAAATTTTGTCATTTTTTTCATAGACATAATGTTAAATTTAAACTTACTTTTAAGCAAAATCCTGAAATATGTCTCAAGTTATTTTTGTTCCTGTTTAAGAATCTGTAATCAAAATTCTTGTGCTGCATGTAGTTTTTGTATTATAAAAGATTTTTTGCAAAAGTTGTATATTTTGAGATCACTTAACATCTGAAATACTGACAAACTATTAATTAACCAAAAACTACATACAGCACAATAATTTTGATTACATAATCTTAAACAGGAGCAAAATACATTGAAATTTATTTCAGGATTTTGCTCAAAAATAAATTTGAATTTAACATTATGTCTATGGAAAAAATGACAAAATTTTGATTGATTTGAGATTATTTCTAAAATAGGAGGTCAAGCATATTGACCATATCATAACAAAAACTCCCGCAGTTGATGAAAATTTTCATATATCATTTGAATTTTTAAACCGAATACCTTTCGAGATATTCGACTTTGTAATGGTCTAGTCCAATAATGTACACCCTGTATTTCTTTGTAAAAACATCCTGTAACATAAAATAACAAATTTCTGCTAACTTTATTCAATTAATTGACATTATTATTATTTAATTTTAAAAATGCTCATAACAAATAACATTATATTTAAATGATAGTGCACAATTGTGTACTATAACAAAATAATCTTAAATTTTAAAATTACTTGCATAAAATTTGTAGTACAAGAAACATGTTTGAATATTTACGCCTGGATTACTGGCCCCTCTATGGCATTGCTGTTATATTAATGGCAATTTTAGCATGTTATAAGTATTAAATTAATTAATTAATTATGCTTTATGTAATATTATTATGCTAAAAATATAAATAAGAAACATTAAAATTACAATCACTTCAATTATAAATGTTTTACTTTCAATTATAGACATTTAACCCGTAATTTTGGTTACTTCGATGCTCTGGGCATAAAAGGGCCCAAACCTGTGGCCATATTCGGTAATCTATGGGATTTGGTGTATACATCAAAACCTGATCTAGAAATACAACGCTATCACAAATATGGCAAAATTTACGGGTAATTCACAATAGTTTTTATATTATATTTATTTCTGAACTGTTTTCCTAAAGTTAATTGCATAATGTGTTTCGTTTTTAAGTTGTACTTGATATTATTAATAATTGGTATATTAATAGATTTAAAATTCTTATTCCAACATAATAAACCTTAAATCAAAATAAGGTGTACTTGTTTATTAGTTAAATAAATTATACTGAAACTAAACAAAACTTACTACTAAAACAATCACCCTTTCAGAACTATCAAAACATTAGGCCTTAAAGTATTTACAATATCAACAAATTAAACTAGATTTTAGAAAATAATTCCTATATTCAATTATAAAAACTGTAGTATAGCTAATCTAACTATATTATTTGAGCACTAAAACTAATCATGATGTATTATTAATATTACACATGAACACAAGCATTTTCGAGGGCAGTCGACCGCTCATACAAGTGGGCGACCCGGAGATCATCAAACAGGTATTGGTCGAGGATTTCCGGCTGTTCAACACCAAAATCCGTATCGCAAACGTTGGTCACCCTATCATCGACCGTATGCTGGTGTCAGTGCGGGGCGAACAGTGGCGCCGTATGCGGTCAGCCGTACAGCCGGCGTTCACCACCGCTCGCACGCGTCGCCACTACCCTCTGGTCAGGCAATGTGTGGCCCAACAGTTGGTCAGTGTGTTGGAGGGGTACGCCCGGGAGGGCCGCCCCTGCGATCTCAAGCGTACGTTTGGCTGCTATTCGCTGAGCGTTATAAACCGCACCGCTTTCGGTATCGCCACTGACCCCCACAGTGAGCCCCGACACCCGTTCGTACGCACGGCGTGGCCGTTGATTGTGCTCCCGGTGTGGAAGTTGTTGGCCCTACAGGTGCTGCCGGAACGGGTGTTGAACGCTATTGGCCTGAAGTCTATTTTTAATGAGAAAACTATCGATAATATATGCCATAATTTGAAGGGTGTGTTGAAAACGAGGCAACATTTGGTGGAGAATAGTACTGATTTTTTGGGAGTTTTTATGCGATCAAAACTCGGTCCAAACGAACCCGAGCCTAATGATGATATTGACGGTAAGTTTTTTTTAATGATTAAGGTGATAATTAAAGTTTTTCTATTTTTTTCAATATCATTTTGTTTGTGCTGTTATGCTTTTTATTTTACAGTATTAATACAGTATGTAAGTGTAGTATAAATCTTAGTTTAAGTGCCCAAAGCACATTAGTCCTGGCACATTAGTACTTTGTTACCAGTAATAGTATTTTGTTTAATTATTTTATATAAGATAATCCTTAACATGAGTAATTTTTTAAATATTTTATATTATTTCATTTTATTGAAAATAATTAACAAATAAATAATAATTAGGAGAAAATAGTCTCGAAATGAAAGAGAAAACGTTTGACAACAATATGTCGGACAACAAGAAGTTGACTGAAGAGGAGATTCTCGCGCAGG